TTTTGGGGGGGAAAAAAACATTTGTTTTTTTTGCCCCCCCTAAGGAAAAAAGGGCAAAAAAAAGGGGGGCCCCCCTTTTTTAAAATCCAGGCCCCCCCCATAAAAACCCAGGTTAGCCTTTTAAAAACCAACCATCCCCCCAAAACTCACCCCCATGGTCCCCCCACCAAAAAGGACCGTCCCCTTTTGGGTTAAAAAAACTTATAAATGGAAAAGAAGATCCAAAGAGGGTCAAAAACCAACAGGTTAATGATGTGCACAAAGAAAAGAACTTTCCGACGCCCAAAGATCCTCCCGGACAAATTCTGCCCTGTTAAAGAAAGGAAGCTGTCGTGGAAAAAATGCCCAAGGAAAAAAAACTGGCCCCAACAGAGTAAGGCAGGAAAAATGGCTGGAATGGTGCTAGACTTTTGGACACCAGACCAGCCTTACAGAGTTGTGGAAACGGGTCAGGCAAGCGACAAGTCGCCAAGCCCCGAAATGCACTCATCATGATCCACAGTCAGAGGGTAACAGATTGGTGCTTGAGTTCTCAGCCAGAACCAGCACCAACAATCTGCCTCCAATGATGAGAGAAAAACAACAAAACTTAAATCCAGAAAGACTTGCTCTCATTAGAGACAAGGCACTCGCTGATGACACAGATGCCTTGTTCTCTCTTAGGGAACTAAGAAAATCATACAAAACCAGTTCTGGATCAGCACCGGGATCTGATGGGATCTCCCACCCCATCATTTCGCATTTAGGCCTTGCAGGAGAACTTGCATTCCTGCAGGTTATCAACAAATCCTGGCAAACCGCCACGGTGTCCCAGAGCTGGAAACAAGCCACAATAGTTCCCATCCCAAAACCAAAGGAGCCTGGCAAGTACCGTTCTATTTCTCTTCTCAGCTGCCTGGGCAAAACAGCTGAGAAGATGGTACTCAACAGGCTCCGATGGAAGACGGGTCCCCCTCATGAACACCTGCATGGGTTCACAAGGGGTAGGAGCACTGCTCATAGCATTTCCACACTCTTCAACACAATCTGCACCTCGCCCGCCATGGTTGTCTTCCTTGACCTGGAGAAGGCTTTTGAACTGGCAAGTCCTCTTGCCATTCAAGAGACCCTAATCCACAAAGGAGTCAAAGGCAGACTCTTGGCCTGGATAGCTGACTATTTTAAAAATAGGTCAGCAAATGTCAGATTTCAA